GAAAGTGCAATCAGTGCTTTTATATATACAAAAAAAAAAAAAAGGCAGACTCTCCCAATGGATTTTGGTCAGAAACAGTTCTTAAACAAAAGATGATTTCAGCTATCATAATTCAAATAATTGCCATCATTTTATCCACTATAATCTTGAATAGATTTGTTGGAAACTAGCAGGATTTTTTTTTTCTTTTTTACTTTTTTGCTTTCATTGAGAAGCAAATGGGTTGTAAACAACATCACAAATAACCAAAATGTATCAAATACCAGTTTCATATTAAAACACAAGCTAACCATTTGATCTAGTTTTGGTTGTTTAATTAACAATTTTTTTCAAAAAAAACCCCTCTTTAACAGACCCTTGTTTGATATAACAATCCTTCAGATAACAAAGTGCTATATCTCTTAACAGCATTTTTTACTTTCTCTACTTTTTATGGAGAGTAGGAAGCTAATGAAATTGAGTAAAATGGTAAAATTGACTTCTTTGGTAAAATAAAATACCTCGTCTAGCTTTTTTTTCTACCTGGAAACCATTTTTGGACTCTTTCCTTAAAAGTGAAAGAAATGCAACTATAATTTTGGGATTTGATGATCAGAACTGTTTATGATTATAGAAATACTGTGTATTATTGTTGATTTTAGAATAAGAGGTTAATGTATTTTATATTTATATCTATATCGAAGAAAGTTGGAAGTTACTCTTTTTCCATGTTCCCCCTTCTTTTTCTTTTCTGCACTTCATATTTTTGTTGAAATTTAATAAAGTTTTCTTTAAAAAAAACAGAATTTTATCCATTCAAAATCTTCAGCTAAATGGCATTCTTAGCGAGGCTAAGCAAAAATTATCACTTAATAATGGGGTTTGAGTGTTTTTCTCATGGATCAGCGGAGCTATCTTTGTTACTTGCCTATAAGTTACTTCCTTTTTTTTCTCCTCTGTTTTTCCCATCAAGATTCTATTCTAGGAAATTTCTTATTAAAATCCTTGAGAACTAATCTGAATCTTCTAATCCAGCTGCTTGAAGCATGACATGCACCATTACTGACTAATAGCTATTTCAAGCAATGAAATCTAGACCTTTCTGTTTTTTCCAGATAGCATAACCAAAACAGCAGTTCTGCCCCAACAGGATATTGTATCTCTGATAACAAAATATCCCAACTAAATACATTTTGCCTTTAGGGAAACAGAGGCACTTAAAAGTCACCTTACCTATTAAAGAATAATTGAGCTAAATGGAGAAAGGTCTTTTCAAAACTCACAAGGCATGATTTAAAGCTAAAAAATTGGCCTTGCCCTTAGATGATCATGATTATGGCCAAATTCTGACATTAATCAAGTTGATTATTACCTATGCCATAGAGAAACAATTTTTTTTGTAATATCCATAATTTCTAAAGCATTGCTGCTTTGCTCTGCCTTTTTTTTTTTTTTTTTTTTTTTGCATGTTGTGGACAATCTGTCCTCCTTTCCTTTTCATTTTCATAGGATCCATTGAGTTGAGTCTAGATTCAGAACTACCAGTAATCTACAGTTAATCAAAACAGAAGTAAAGACTTCCAATCGCTTTCTCACAGACATGTCATCTGAAGAGTGCAGAGAATAAGCATAGTAAAATCTTGAGAGTTGACTCTTAACAAACTCTATTAAGACATGGGTTGAGAAAATTATTATAGCAGAACTTGGAGGTTTTCATTATCAACAAAAATGAGAAAAAAACATTATGTTCTTTTACATTTTCCTGATGCTCACAAGAGTGGGGAAAAAAAAGTTGAAATGCTCTGGGGAGTTTAAAATAGCTCTCAGCTGAAAAAAAAGATTCCAAAGGTCTTCAGCTCAGCAGTCCAGATATTATGCAAAGGAATACAATGCTCATAGTAATAATAATACTGCCACTACTAAGAATAATCATATAGGTCATCAAATAAGAATGGAAATGTACATAATTTTGCAAAGGATGAAGGTTACACTATAATTTCCATTTGATTTGTTTTCAATATTGTTATGCATCTGTATCAATCAAGCTCTCAAAACAAGCAAAAATGTGGGGATGCAGACCATACCTCAAGGTATCTAAAAATCTGATTTGTTTTGAATTACAGCCAAAGGTTATTACTGCTTAGTTTTTCCCTCTGAAGCTGTCCAAAGGAACTAGCCCTTGCCCTCCACTCATCTCTCTCTCCCGCCCCCCTTTTCCTTTTCCTGCACCTGTCAACTCATGTCTGAATATCAACTTTCCATGTAACAGCTCTGGAGAACTGGCAATGGAACCTGAAGCAAATCCAGAAGAAAAGAGAAGAGACATGCTGGAAAAAATCTACAAAGAGACTGTTTAATTGGGCATTGATTTCAGGATTTCACTTTGGTCAAACTACATGACAGGGGTGGCTGAACAGCAGCATGGCTCTAGACACTTTTCCAAAATTCACTTGCATTTTGTCACTGCTCCTCCTCTATTTTTTTTATTATTATTACATTGGCAGCTCACCTTTCCTCCAGGAACTCAGCCCTTCCTCCAATCTTCCCTTCCCTCTCACACACACAAACACAACTGTGTGGAGTATGGGGGACTGGGAGAAAATAACTAACCCAAGGTCACCCAATGAACTTCCATGTTGGCAGGGACAGGGAGAAGACTTGAACCTGGAACTTCCTAGTTCTTAATCCAACACCCACTAGACCACCTTTCTCCCTTCCTTCCTCTGAAGAAAAGCCTTCCTAATCAGGTACTCAAATACACAGAACGGTAATGTTGAAGAGCATTTCTAGCCTGTCCTGATGTCTGTCTAGAAATGCTGATTCCTTTGAAATACAAACTTAACAAATCATCAACTTAGTTGCAAGGAGCCTTTGCAATTTTAGAAAACATGCCCTCACACAGTCTCCCCCACCCCCACCCCACATACACATTTAAATAAAATAAGGATAGCTAGTCTTTGATTACCAGATGAGGGAGCTCTGTGCCAAAGGAGAGACTGCAAATAAACTTTGTTATTGCCAACATAGATTTCTCCATGCCAGGTAAGCTGCCTCAGATTCTGCAATGAACCATGGGAGGGGTGGGGGGTGGGGCTCAGGACACAGCCATTCATGTTCCAGACAGGGAAATATCTGGTGGTTCAGTTAATGCACATGTGCATATATGATATATATACATCTCCCTAATACATAGCATATATCTGAGTTGCATACCACAACCATTCTGAGTTTACACAGGAAATCTCAGTTTCAAATAAGAAACCAAAAGAACTTTAGAATTGTGTTTAAAGACTCACATGGAAATATTCTCTTTGAGATTTGGGGGCAGGAACTTCTTTTTTTAAAGAAGAACATAAACATTTTATTACCAGATGCATGGGGACCACTGTAGTTTAATTGTCACGGAGATTAGCAATTATCTTGTTATGGCTTCAATAATCAGAGCAAACTGGATGAAAAGGCAACAAAACTGTTTTATTTTTTGCACAATTATATACAATGCATGATGGAATGATTTATGTAGCCAGCTCTCTGAAAGAGCCATACAAGGTAAAAACTGTCTCTATAGACAGAAAAGGAGCAAAACTTGAATAAGGGGAAACAGCTACTGTATACAGCTCACTGAATCTAAAATGCTAATGATCAATACCATCAGAGATAAAGTAGTCTGTCAAGTACACAGAGTACAAATTTAACAACCAAAAATAATATAAGGAGTCTGATCAATTTCATGTTTATTCTAGAACTCATTGCATGCAGATTCTTGTGGGCTGTATTTTATCAAAATGGAAGGAGAAAGAATATTGATTGTCTTGGTTACTTTAAATAGTGAAATGCCTTTAAAGTAGTTTGCAAAAAAAAAATATTAAATGGGAATTGCTTGAAAACTTCTTGCTGATTTAAAACCATTAGAGCAATAAATACCTTTACCTTCCCAATATGACTGGATTAGAAGTCAGAGAAGGACAAGTGAAACCATTGACACAGTTAGTGATTAAATTCATCTACCACTTGAAATGAAAAGTTGTTTTATATTATAATGCAACTTTGCCTGAACAGGTCACTCCGTTTAGGTCTCTCGCTGTGATGTCAGCAACAGTTTTAAAAAAATATTCTGATTAATGAGTTTTCCACAACAAGATTTTAAGCAGATAAGATTCCAAATCTATGAGATAGTTTGTGGAAATCTACAATCACGAGGAAAATGTAATGAATGGATAGTAAAAATGGATTAGCTATGCCAATCAAAATTAGGCATAATTTCTATGTAACCTCCTAAACATCTAATATTTGAAGAAAACTGTCATTAGATAACAAAGATTGAAGAAACACTAGAGAAAATTTACACTCTAATATGAAGATATTAAAAGATATGACGATTATCCAAATATGAACAAAGCTCTGATGAAAGTAATAAAGATTAGTTGAGATGATACCAGAACTGTTTCTTAATAGTATACTTTCTAGGTATAAAAAAGCTCGGAGTCAGCTGCAGCAAAGTACATTCTCATCACTAATATGGACAATACAAAAAAGTAAACATTTGACTTTGTGTTATTCCTAAAAACTGTATAGCCCATCCAACTTCTTGCCTCATTTGCAGACAAAAGAGTAAACTGCCAGTATCACTCAATTCCTGCTTGACTTCAGGAATTTCCCTCTAAGGAGCAGTTGATAAGTTCAATATTATTGCTATGCTAAGAGGTAGTTGAGTGTTGTACTACTACATCATCAAAATGAAAAGGAAAAAAAAACACCTCCTTTGGAGTAGTTCCTATAGTGTTTAAAACATGGCTCTCTCATTCAGATCCGATATGCCCTTCTTTAAATATTTCTGTAGCCCATGAATAAAACAACACGAGACTCTTCCCACACTTGAGGTAAAGGCTTGCCCGTTGCTATAGTCGTTATAGTGCAATCCCTGCTCAGGCCCTCTGGCAGCCATAACAATCATGACAATAGGTAGACATTTCTGTTATGCTCGGTCTGATGGGACTTAATGCTACCATGCAACACGGTACCTTTGCAATGCACAAACTCTTCCCCAATAGGGGGACTTCCTTCTTCACAGAGCCATTGGCCAGTCTTGTGTTCATCTGCGTGAATGTCATTGTGATCCCCATTGCAGTCACTTTTCCCATTGCTATTGGAATATCCGTTGACATACATTTTCAAGGCAGACCTCCGGAAGCAGAGGATCTCCTGGAAAGCATATCTGAAGTCCGGGCTTCGACAGTAAATTAAAGGGTTGAAAGCAGAATTGACATATCCCACCCAGTTCAAGAAGATATATACATCTTTGGAAATCAAGGTCTCTTCAATAGCACTCACAATGTGGACAATGAAAAAAGGGAGCCAACACAGAGTGAAAGTACCCATGATAATGCCCAGAGTTTTAAGAGCTTTGTGCTCTTTCAAGCAAAATTTAGATGCTTTCCTATGATTTCCTTTTCCCGCATTTCGCTCCTGATTGGAGTTTTGCTGATGGAATCGTCCTTCGCATTTGTCTATTTTTTTTAGCTGCTTCTGAGCAACCTGGAAGACTCTGGCATAGACAAAAACCATCACCACCAAAGGTACATAGAAGGAGATGACAGAGGAAGTAATAGCATACTCCTGGTTGGTGAAGAAGTCACAGCAGCTCTCATTCAAGTAGCAACTCTCAGCATCTTGCCCTTTGGCTCTGTACCACCGCATCTGGATAGGCAAGAAGGAAGTCAGGATTGATATTACCCAAACCAAGAGGATGGCCATCCTGGCTTTATTTTTGGTCAAAAGGCTTTGATACTTGAAAGGAGAAGTGATGGCAAAGTACCTGTCCACAGCAATGACACACAGCGTCTCAATGCTGGCTGTCACACAGAGGATATCAATTGAGATCCAGAACTCACACCAAAAACTCCCAAACTTCCAGATACGCTGGATGATGTAGCTGGCTCCGAAAGGGACCACCCCGAGGCCCATCAGGAGATCCGCACATGCCAAAGAAGTGATGAAATAGTTAGTGACCGTCTGCAGCCGCTGGAATTTGGCGATGGCCGTGATCACCAACACGTTGCCAAAGACGATGGCCAGCACGATCAACGACATGAGAATGGACATGCCCACCACCCAGCCTTCTCCGGACGTGATGGAATTGTCCGGGCTTTGCCTGCCACTACTGTTGACGCTCAGCGCGAGGTGTACCGAATCGACGGGACTCGGTGTTACCATTGTGCCCTCGAAATAGCCTCGCTTTTTTTTTCTCGGCCGCGGCCGATCCGGGGTTACGAGCAAATCCGCCGGCGCCTCGCCAAGGCGCTGCCGCGCTGGGCTTTCTTTCGGCTCGACAGCTCCCAAGTCCCCGTCCACTTAACCTTTGCAGGCACTCTGCTCCCTGGCACGCTGGAGGAGAAGAGCCGGACTTGGCAAGCGAACCGGGGGGTTGACACGATGGTGCGCCTCATGCAGCCAGCAGCTTGAACAGCGTTTGTCGCGTCCTGTCCTGTCCTCGGCTCGGCTCGCTTTGATCACCTCCCGCGCTCCTCGAAGTAACCCTTGGCGGCTGGAACTTGTCCGGAGCCCGTTATGTTTAGGGAGTTTATAGGAACTCTCACTTGTGACGTAAAGCTACCTTCAGCCAATAGGCTGCCAACAATCAGTCTCTCGCTCTCTCTCTCTCTCTCTCTCACACACACACACACATACACACGCTCTCACACACAGAGTCGGCGGTGGCAGCTGCAGCCTTGTGGCTGCGCTGCTTCCTTACTCCTCTTCGCCTGGTGGCACGGAAAGCTCCCATCTGCGCCGTGGCTACCGATTACAACTCCGTTTCCTCAACAGCCCAAGTAAAGTTAGCGCCTTCTGGCCGCTGGGAAACCCGCAGATCCTGTTGCTGGCTTTTGTTTCTCGCCGGTCATTTGGCTCGGGAAGCCGCTCGACGCTCTCTGGAGAAACAGACAGGAAGATCAGGAAGGGGCCCCCGGGAATGGGGTGGGGGGATACCGGGGAACTGAGATTGTTTTAGCAGGAAATGCGAGCGAGAGTTGATCAAGAACTTGGCGCCCTTTGCGGTGCGTCATCGACCCTCAGGTGCCGGGAGCGTCCAGGCAGGCACCTTCCACGGACGCACCAAAACCCCACCTGGGAACGCCGGGTCGAGTGAAGCCTCAGTCCCACGCGCAGCGTAAACCGAGAGCGTTTCTGACCATGCTTACTGCGATTTTTGCAGCCTCCGTGAGATTGAAGCTGCATGTTTGGCATCCGTTTCCAAACTTTTATCTACTTGTCTTGGGCTGATCCCACCGCCTGGGAAAATGTCCTTATTTTTTATTTGGGAACGACAATGTCCTTATTTTTATTTGGGAACAATTACAGTGTGGTGTTTCTATTTTGTCTCCTTCATCTCGTTGCAGTATTTACTTTTACTGTTAAATATGGTCTATTGTAAGATAAAAGGAGAGTTTTTGTTGTTTTCTTAAAGAAGGAGGAAAAAAGCTACCAATCAGTCTGCAAATAGAATAGTTATGATTGCACTTAAATCCTATCTCAAATATCAGAAGCAAGGGCCCTCTAAATAAAGTTGAAAAAAAATATCAAATGCCTTCCAGTCTATTGATGAAGAAATTGTGAAATGTTCATAAGTTCTCACTAGAAGAGCAAACTAAACAAAACTCTCATTCATCTGTACCAGCCAGTTTCGACACAGCACAGAAAGAACCATCTTGTATTTGTTTGCCAAGTAGGTAATAGATATAAGGAACTTGTCAGACAGAAGAGTTGGGACACCAGTAATTTAATATTATATGCATGATTGAACACACAAGGATTTCTTTAAGCATAAATAGATAAAACCACCAATTTGTCCCACTCTTAATGTTAATTTCTGCCTTTCTTATTTATCAATTTATAGAGTGTGATGAAAGCAAATAAATAAAATTCTTAGCTCATGAACACTTCTGAATAATCACAGCTGGAGAGCAACAACTGAGAGAAGAGGGCTGTGAGATTCCTCAAACCCACCAACTGATGCGCTCCCAGGCAAGACTATAAAATCCTTGAGTGTGATCCAGTAGCAGCACTCTTGTGTTCTAAATTAGTTTAAAACAGTTAACTACAGTAGTATGTGTGGGGATGTGAATAAAACTGCTCAAGCAGCCAGGCTTCCAATAAAAATAAAGCAAGGAGCAGGCAATTACGCTTCATAACCTTTAAAGTACCATAGGGTTTTTTCATTGGTTTAGCTGCAAAAAAAAAAAAATGTGTCTAATCTATAAATAGTTTGAAAGTTATCTTTTTCCCATCTTTTAATCATCACATTGCAGTAGACTGTCTGGTATAATACTGTCTTAATATAACCCCGTATAACTCAACCTCCTGATTATGCAGAATTCTGTTTTCAGGTCTAATCAGCAATGTTTCCTCCAACCATTACCTTATTTGAATGTATCTTTTTGCTTTTTTCAACACACATCTCACCACATCCTCTGATTCTAGCTAAACTTCCTGAATCTACTGATTCTGAATAAAGAATTGAGAAGGGAACAAATTAATCTTGAAATGTTGTTAAAGAATATCAATGTGTTATATAACTATACTATAGTTGCACTGTTTTATTACAGAGACAGGAAAGGGTAGGTGAACAGTTCTGAAGGAGAATTTCATAACAGTAAAATTATAATTTACTTCTAGGCAGAACCAAAAAATATTCATTATCTTCATTTCAGATTAGTAAAATCAGTAAGCACTCAAATTTTATTTCTAGTCAAACTTTGAAAATATTTTCATCTCAGAAAATAATACGGTACTGGATAATATATTAATTATTAATGTGGATGAGATGAAATAGTAGATGGTGATACTGATAATAACTTTTATATAATGTTAAGAACTACCTTATCTTTCTATCAAATGTACTTAATTAGGCTTGGCTCAAATCACACTTCATAATTAGTAATAATTACAAAATATGTCTTCCAACATTCCCATGCATAGTTTTTTGTCTGAGTTCAATGTGTTTGCTTTAAGAAGATGCAAACTTTCCTATTTGGGAAAGTGTGGAAAAATCTGTCACAGAGAAAAGAAATTATTCTTTTATTAATTTTATATTACAAGAGCTCAAGATGGCGTACCTGGCACTTCTTCCTCCCTTTTTCCCGTGAGATAAATCCAATTGAGAGAGGTATTGGTTCAGATTCACCTAGTGAGCTTCCAGAATACAGGGTCTCTATGGTGCCAGGCTGATGCCTTAACTTCAACACTACATAGATTTAAGCAATGGGTAAGTGGAAATTCTGAATGAAATTGGGAAAGTTTCAACTGAACAAGATAAACCCCAACATTTCCTGAAGCTGTCTTTATAAATAATACTCATTCCATAGATATTTGAAAAATCAGTCACATAAATGTATAGTACAGAGTGAACATGATACAGTGATTTACAGCTTTAATCACACAGGTAATGTAAACAAACTTGAAATGTGGAAAATGCAAAATAAATGGCATGACTGGAGCAGCTGGCAACCAGTGTCAAATTTAACCATTAAAACTTTCTGGCATAATATCTAGGAACCTTAGAGGGACATGGTGATTTTTTAAATTGAATTACAGATACCCATACGTTGGATACAACCTTGCTTCATGGATATGGGATGTCAGAGAATATACACAGATGTAGATCAGATGGTATCCACTCTGTTTTAGACAGAAATCATTGCTGGTTGTAATTTTGATACTTATCCATCCCCGTTGGACTCAGGGTGATGCCATTCAGATGTATGGAAAAATAAGCTCCATAAATCTGGTGTGAGTTTCCTTTGGAGTAAACATGTGAATAGGACTGGAATGTTTACTTTATTGAATGTTAAAGAGAACTTTTTTTAAAAAATGGGTTGTCTTTGCTGTGTCATTCAGCTGACCTACATAAAACTCTGTGAAGCTGTCCCCTATGACAGTGCCAAGTCCAGGATTGTATTTTCCTTCAACAGCAGTTTTCCTAGATTGATGACTCAGGGGAAAAAAAAAACCCTCACATTCCTACTACCTAATATGCAGCTTAAGTGGAGATGACAGAGGGTGAAACTGGGAGCTGCCAGATGGCTGCACCTGCCTCACCTTTATGCTATCACTTCCGCCCCAATCTAAACTTTTTTTTTGGAGAGGATGTATCAGTGTTCAGAAACTCATAAGCAACAAATGCTGTTCAATATGGTCAAAAAGAAAATCTAGCAAAGGAAGGAAAACAAGCAGTAAATGTTATTGCTGTAGACACTGGGATGGCTATCATCCTATATTTCAGCCTAGTTTCCAGAAACTGCTGGCAAGTTGCCTCGGTAAACCTGCTGAATAGATGCATCTTAATCTGACATGCAGATATGCCTCTTAAGTATATGAAACTAAAGTCTCCTGCTTTGTGTATCACCCTGCAGTCCATTCTATATGCTTCCCAGTCTTTCTTACAGTGGGCTACATCTAATATTGTTACCTCTGGGAGAAAACTTATCTAGAATGTAGTAATAATTGAGGCCAAAAGGCAGGAACTTAGGGAAGCCGACAAATTAAAACAACAGGCTAGATATCTCAAGCAGTCCCCATCCTGCCTATTTTCAGGCACCAAAGGATTTGTCCTGCTGGTGATTCCAAAATTAATTCAAGAGAAAAAGTAGATGACTGCATTGAACCACTGGAACTGACATAAAAACAAGAGGCCTAAGGAAGAAATGTTCTTCAAAATATATCACAGTATTTAATTTTTAGCTTCTTCTTCTAAGTACCTTTCATATTGTATGTGTGAACCCCAATTTATCAGCTAGACCAGGGGTAGACAACCTTGGCTCTTTTATGACTCGTGGACTTCAACTCCCAGGATTCCTGAGCCAGCCACTCAGGAATTCTGAGAGTTAAAGTCCACGAGTCATAAAAGAGCCAAGGTTGCCTACCCCTGAGCTAGACCATGTTGTTTGGGGAATTTGTGGGGTTCATATCATTTCTAGGGAAAGATATGGACTGGAAAGACAGTATTTATTTATTTGATTAGCTATCCCAGTCCATATGACTCTGGGCAACTTACAAAATATGAAGGAAAATTATAAAGAAACAGTATATAATCCAAAATAATAAGTCCCAGAGAAAAACAACCACCACTTAAATCCCCAAAACATTTTACAAAGAGTCTTCCACTCATTCTAACCCAGGGCCGAGGGATGGAGCCAGGTTTTAAGGCATCACTTAAACAGGGCCAAGAGGAGGATCATATGAATCTAGGATGGGATGGTGTCTCAAGAGCAGGTATCATGATGGAAACCTACCTCTCTGTGAACCTGTTAAGGATCAACAGAAATGTTCTGATTTCACTTGAGTCAATGAAACTCATTCAGAGATTAAATGATAATCTTTTAAAAACTTTATCCAAATTGAAAACATGCTTTACTTTACATTGGTTGGGAGTAGATGAACTATTTATAAATTATTTATAAATAATATATTTATAAATAATAAAGAAAGGTTGTTGTTTACAATTTATTCCACATTTTTCAGAAGATAGTAATAACTTTAACTATGTTGAAGGATTAATTTAATTACTTGCTTCCTTGCCCTCTTGAAGGAGAAAAATAATACAAGTCAAAAAAAATAATACTAATTGAAACAATTAATAGTAGATATGTGTAGTGAATATTGTTTCTTCAGTTAACAGTAGAAATGCAACATTGATGGCTGTTAAAGTAATGCAACATTGATGGCTGTTAAAGAACTGACCAGTCATTTTAATTATTTTCTCCTAAATAAATATATTTAGTAGCAGATGCCACTATGTTGATTTGCATCCTTTAAAATGACATCAGATGTAAACCAAAGATACATACTGGATATCAATACTATATAATGTCTTTGGTCATCAGGAGTAGTTACATGTCCCATGCAAACATATGTCTTGATATATATTTTAAAAATGAAATGAAGTGTGGGAGGGCAGGGGGGATCCATGTTACACACTTTCCCTGCTCATCTACTTGCTTCTCCGAATCTCACACAATTTGAAAAAAAATGTTGGGCCTTTCTTAATATGTTCGTATACAGCATACTATGAGTAGCCTGTTGGGTACCTTGGCCCTCAAGAAATTAATGATCTTTATGTTTTATAGTATGTTAAATTGTTATCAATTCACAAAGAAGCAGAACTATAAAAATGATAAGGGATATTTCTGCATTTTGAGTTTCATTTCCTCTTACATATTCACAACAAAACTACTAAATGCCAAACTTTGCAATCTTGCCTGATATTAAACTTATCTTGCAATGATGTGCAGGGCAGCAAAACACAAGTAAGGATTTAGATTTAGGACTGCAAGCAAAATTTCGCTATACATCTCAGTTTGAGCAGTGAGATTTCAAGGATTGTAGTGTTAACTTACAATTTGGTTTTCTTGAAATGAGGTTCTAGAGACTAATTGGCATTGCAGCATTTGCATTTATAATCCA